AGGAGGGTGAGGAGATGTGGAGGGCCAGCTGCTCGGCTTAGGGCAGTTACTAATCCCAACCTGTGGACTGTGGTTGCATGTGTGATTCCCAGAGTCCCTTGCTACCCTGGGGACTCCTGTAGCATGTGACCTCTGCTGCTGATATTCCCACGCACAGCCCCTATAGCCTCTGACAACAGCCTCATTCTCTCTGTCACCTCATTCTCTCTCACAGCCCTGGCTCAGCCCTTATCCATTGTTCTAGATTAGGGTGAGCAACAAATGAAACCTTATGGTTATGAAAAGATTTTGACAAAGCTCTGTGGGTGCTAGAAGAGTTGTTTACCTGGCAGACAAGGACTTTGTACTTACTTTGTACAGCCTAGTATTACCTGAGAAGCAGTGCAGGTAACCCAGTGCACACTTTGTCAGCAATAGTTAAATACTGAAGCCTCCCATCTTCAGAGCACAGTTACCTGGGTGTCTTAACTGTTAACAGATATATAAAGTATAGCCCTCACTAATAGCTCTTCAACACATAGAATATGAATATCATGGTCAGTGACCATCCATGCCACTCTTTGAAAATCTCTGTCACCTGTCATGCAGATGAAGCGATGAAGCACAGACAGCAAAGTGTGCAGTTGTGTTGCCTCCTGTGTTTTGATGCTAAAACCACACAACAAAAACAGATTACTGATGGAGGAATGAACCGACAAGCACAAAGCAGTCCATGAGAAGTGACGATATTGTGACATGTCACTCAAATATAAACAGAATTAGAGGAGAAATTGCTACCCAGGGAGAATGCTGCTGCTGCTGCTGCTGCTGTCTTCTTTGAGGGACACTGGTCACACAGCCAGTGGGAACACAATATGTTGATGTGATGAGGGGGATGAAGGGCCACAACATCAGTGAAACCAGTCAAACATGTCACATTCATTAAAGGTTTTCCAGGGATGGTGCATGAGGCTGGCAATACTGAGGACCATTTGCCAAGGCTTAGAAAACATACCACCTCCCTATCAGACTCTGCCTAGAAGGTAGCCAGCACCATTCAGCTGTTCTTTAGAAGCTTTGAGAGGAAGAGAACACATTGCACCTCAGTGTCCCTAATGTTCTCAACGACCGAACAAATGCACATTTTTTATTTGTCTATATTATTTCCAACAAGCCAAGCCTCACAGAGTTTTGAGAAACCTGCAGAGGTCATGGTGTTTATGCAAACTGTTCTTTGACTATTTTTATGATCTGGTTCTACCATGAAGAAGAGGCTACCTGTAATTGTGTTCTTACCTGGATGGAACAAACATGGCAGAGGTCAATCCAGAATGAAAGATGTTCACTTACAACTCCAGACTGTAAGTTCAAGGAAAACCTGGGTAGTCAATAACACCCTGGGACTGTATCTCAGAGGTGGTGATTGCCTAGCATGTGTATATTCCTGAGTTCAGTTCCTAGTACTGCAAACACAGACAGACAGACAGACAGACAGACAGACAGACAGACAGACAGACACACAGACACACACACACACACACACACACACACACAGACACACACACACGGGGGGGGGGGGCTGTCCATTTATTTGCAGAATCAAAGCAAGAGTTGCAAAGCTGTGGCTTGGAAGAGGTGCCAGGAAGGCTGCCTCTGAGCACTTTGACAGTGATAATTTCAATATCTCCACTATTAGTGGCCACAGTTCCCAGTCATCACCCTCTGTGTTCCACTTCTTGGAATCCACATTTCTGGAAACAAACTATCCTTAGACCAGCTATGATCTGGGAGATGGAGACAAAAGGGCCAGCCTTGGTGACTCAGACCCACCACGTTCTTAGAGAAGGAATGATTTTCTAGAGCCAGGCCAACACATTACAAGGTGGTTGCTATAGTTTTTTTTACTCTAAAATCTATGGATTTCACTTTGTTTTTAAGTTGATTTTTCCAAATCAATGTTTTATAAATGGAAAGAAGTTTAAGTAAGCACCTTTCTAATATAAATATTCCGTTTCAAATTTATTATTATTATTCAGGTAAGCTAATACATTCCTTAGGGCAGTGGTTTTTTTTTTTAACTTGTGGGTCATGATCTCCTCACACACTATTTACATTACAATTCATAACAGTAGCAAAATTACAGTTATGAAATAGCAGTGAAATAATTTTATGGTTGGGAGTCACTACAGCATGAAAAACTGGATTAAATGGTTGCAGCATTAGGAAGGTTGAGAACCACTGACTTAGGGGCTTCCAGAGTTCTTCCTGGAGAGATTTACCTCCAGAAACCAACTCCTTTTTTGAACACCTGTCCCCTTCCTGTGCTGGCATCCACTCCAGAGCCCCCTCACTCTGCCTGCTACTATTTTTCTTGTGAGCCTATCCTTTAACAGCTGAACCATCTCACCAGCCCTGCCTGCTACTTTTCAGATGGCACTTATCACTTAACCTTCCATAGTCTCATTACTCAGTGTGCTTATTATCTATTATTTGTTCTTCACCATGATGAACAAAGAGTTATTATTTTGTCCAACAGCATATACAAAGGGATTTTATTAAAAAAGTTATCAGACATATGTGTTTCAGGAAATGTTTATGGAATAATACCTCTTGATATATTTTTTTTAAGTGAGGCATTCCAGTGTTGGGTAAAAACAGGGAAAATGAATGGGAATGGTTAAAATCTGTAGCATGGTCCAATAGGAGAGAGTAGATTTGTATTCTTTTTGTACTAGTCAATATTGAGCCATTAATGACCACAAGGAAGTGGGTGTGGTTTGCTGAGATTCTTCTTTATAGACCCATCACATAGCCAGCCAGATGGAAGGTAAAAGATTCTGTCACAGGCTTCTTACTCTTGGCTCTATGTGTTGTTTCTCATCCTATTGTCACAGTTTTACCAAGGAGGAGGCTAATGGCTTTTTGCATGAGAAAGCTTCAACCAATCTTCCTCGTTGTCCTTGCCATAGTAACAGTTTGTTCTGAAGGCTTTCTTTCCAATATCATAATCCACGAGGCAGTGCCCTTCACCTCTTTTGGGAGAGCTCCCTCCTGCTTCTTTCTAGTGGGATCATGGTGTCTGCAAAGGTTAGGAATATCCCAGGCTGGAGTGATAGACCTTGGCCAGAGTGAGCCCTTAGAAAATTAGAGCCGCCTCATGTTTTCTGGCAGATGGTATTAAACCATGTTGGGGGCGGGGGGAGATGTTAAAATCATGCTGAAAAAATGTATTACTCTGCTCCTGGAAGAATGATATTTGAGAAAACAGAAAATTATTCAGAGTGTAAGATGATTGGCATAGATGATATATTTTGATATTATTGCTGTTCAGGGATTATTAGGAGAGATTTAGGTATGAAGTGGTATTGTGGTTTTGTCCTTATAGGAATGAATCTGTTTAACAGATGTGTGTGGATAAAATGTAAGGTGACTAGATTTGCCATAAACACACAAGATTTGGGATAAAGTAATAGTTCTCAACTTCTGGGTCCAAACCCCCACAGGGAATGTATATCAGATATTTACATTACAATTCATAACAGTAGCAAAATCACAGTTATAAAGTAGCAATGAAATAATTTTATGGTTTGGGGTCACCATAATATGAAGAATTGTATTAAAGGGTCACAGCAATAGGAAGGTTGAAAACCACTGGGTTAGAGGGAAGGATAGAGAAAAACCATATTGGCAAGCAGTCGGCTATTGCTGAAACTGATTGGTAGGTAGGTGAGATTCTTTATATTATTTTGTCTACTTCCTTATGGGTTTCTAATGTTCAAGTAATAAGGTATTTTTAAAACATGATGGTAGCTGTTGGGCACTTTGGCTTGTTTCTGTTCTGATTATAAATGAAACACTTTGGGTATTGTACCATGACTTGTGGTGTTGCCTTAAAAACCCTCCATGCTGAGGAACTACTGTTCTATTCCTGATTATTTAAATTAGAAATGGATGCTGGAGAATACTAAATGCCTTAGCAAGGTCTTCAATTATTACATTTTTGCCTTATTGCTGAAGGACTGTAATAAAGCCCCTATGCAATGGCGTATGCCTGTAACCACAGGTACTCAGCAGGCTCAAGGGCTGTGACTTCAAGGCCAACTGGGGCTTTGCAGCAAGATCTTTCCTCAAAAAATTAAAATTGAAATAGCCTTCTTGTAGCTCTTATGAAACTTACAAGTAGTCACTGTCTCATCCATCATGGTATTACTGGGCAGATCATAAGTGCCAGCCTTCTGCTGGGCACAGGAACATGGCAAGGAACAGGACTGGCTACCCAGCTCCCCTGAGGGTTCCCTCTCAGTGCTGAAGTTAGACCCTAACTAGGTTCAGGTGGCTTCCCTGGCTTGCCAACTGCCAGAGGCTCTGGTTTCCTAGGCTCAAGAATGCTGAGGGGAATCTGTGCACTGCCTTCTTTGCTATGGGCGGGGCTATGTTTTGCAATGAGGCACATAGAGGCAGAGAGCCCTCAGTTTAGTTCCATCAGCCTCGTGGTTCATGATCAGTCTTTTCCCGTGTTGGCAAGAGTTGGATGTTTAAATTAATCTCTCAGGTTGTTGTCAGTACTCTGAAGTTCCTGTGTCTTTACAGCTATTTTAGTTCTGAGCACAGAGAACCTCCAGGGACTTGGAAGCAAATACCATTTGCACTGAACCAGATGTGTACATTTGCAAATTATCCTGGAACCTGTGTAACGCATGTTACTCATCCTGTCAGTAATTTTGCTGTTTCCCTCATTTTAAAAGTAGGCCTTACTGTAAGAAAACTTACAACTGCAGCCAGCAACACCCACTCCTCACTAGAATGACTGAACATCTACCTGTGTCCAGTCCTCTGTCCTCCCAACTAGTTCCCAGCAGGGCCAAGAAGACAGAATAGATTGGAGACACCAGGGATTGTTGGATTTGAACAAGACGGCTTTCCTCTGGAGCCCAGTGGTTAGCCAGTGTACCCATGGCCTGTTTTCAGTGCAGTCCTGAGGGTGCAAATCTCTGTTCAAGATGCTCTTCTTTCTGTTTTAGGTTTTGCTAATCTTTGCAAAGGAGGACAGCCAGAGTGATGGCTTCTGGTGGGCCTGTGACAGGGCTGGCTACAGATGCAACATCGCTCGTACTCCAGAGTCGGCCCTTGAGTGTTTCCTGGACAAGCATCATGAAATTATTGTGATTGATCACAGGCAAACCCGGAACTTCGATGCAGAAGCGGTGTGCAGGTGCCTTCCTCGTCTAAGTTGCTTAGTAACATGGCCGCCCCCCATCTGCTCTAAATGAGCTTCCTCTACAGACAGCTTTGGGTCCAGCCCTGACCTGGAAGTCAGAGACTTGGATTGCTAAGATGAAGACTATGGTCCTTCCTATAGACACATCTTGTCTTCCTATCTCTGCACATTAGAATCACATTGAATCTAGAGGCTGGATTCATCCTAAAGCTTGAGGATTTCTGTTCTCCCCACCCTCCGTATTGCTCATAAAAGAATCATTAAAATTCACAGTTTTTACTACATGTAGTTAGATTTAAAGTAGATATTTTAAACTTCATTATTCTGTCCCAAAATGAACATCAGAAATGTGTGAAACAGAGACTTTTCCATACGTGACACAGATGGGTAGACCCTGTAGCAGGCTTCCCAGACACGAGGAAGAAGGGGGCCACTTTAGTAGCAGAATCTTCCTGGGGTCCATGCCCCTACTTGTTTATACAAATGCTTGCACTTTGGGAAGCAAACACCTGTCTTTTCATAAATAAATGAATAGTATTAAGAGTTGGCTCAGGATGAACTGAACCAGTCAGCAGAAGTGGAACTCTGGGAAGTCAGCCTGGAGGAACCACTGATTAATTGAGAACAGGACAGAGTCCAATTACATATGGGGCTGGACTTTTATTGAGTAAATGAAAGGTAGAGAAATTGATTCTTAAAACTTTTGGTGCACTGACAAAAATACTAATGGATTAAGAGGGTTTGTTGTTGTTGTTGTTGTTGTTGTTGTTGTTGTTTTGTATCACAGGCATTGCCTTGCTATTTTTTTGGTGACTTGAATTTTCCCAAAGAATTTTTGTTAATTTAACCAATGTTTCAGTGTTTTAATGGTTTCAATCTTGCCCTTCTCCAAAGAAATATTATTTAGTCACACACAGAAACACATACAGACACACACACACACACACAATGCTATTTTTACTATTAAGAAATACATTTTCTTTCTAACAAGGTATGATGAAATACATCAGTTGTTACAGCATTTGGGAGACTGAGGAAGGAAGGAGGATTGCTGAGTTCAAGGCCAGCCTGGGCTACAAAGAACAGAGAACAAACAAAACAAAGTATATCTTCTTTCTAAATGATTTTTAGGGTAGAGTTGGGTCCTGATTCTCACTTGCTGGTCTCATATATGGCTCTGTAATCCAACACTGCTGCTCATATGCACATGTACAGTTATTGAGGATAAGCACTCCCTAAGGCCTAGGTTAGCAATCTTAGGGTTCTTCCTTAGATATAGAGGCATGATGTTTGTGCCCCTGTTACAGCTGCTCAGAAAAGCAGTGGGGAATGTGAGGTCTGGAAGGAAGTTGTATGGTTCTGTGCTGGCTGACTGTTACTGGCCCTGTTGAGGGTGGCCAGATTCTTAAATGATTGACAACCATCAGTGTTCTGTACGGAAGTAAGTGCTCCAGTAGAAGTATATTCCTTCTGTAGGCCAAGGTCCCAGGATTTTTAGCTATACTGCATCTTCCTTCATTTAGCATACTGACCCCAGACCAACTTACCTCCAGATCTCCCTTAGTCCTCTAACCAGGAAGACATCGAAGTCCCTCTTAACACAAATTCCTCTGGGGAACAGGAAGTAACCCTAAAGACAGGTGCCAGCCACAAAGGAAGCCAAAAGACTGCTCCCGCCCAGCATGTTCAGTGTGTGAGTTAGCCTCTGTCTAAGTCCAGGCTCTTAGAAGGTGATCCAGTAGTGTGTCCATGGCACATCACTGGATGGGAGAGGCTACATGAAAGGGAGATGTGTACAGCATCTCCCTAGATCTCAGAGATTGCCGCTCAGACACTGTAAATTTTTTTCATATGGTGGAAATTGGTACTTCTCTAAGTACATTTAGGCTCCTAAATGTAAACTGAGTCTTCTGGCACTTGCTCTGTGGGAGGTTTGATGGGAGCAGTAAGTGATGAGTGCCAGCACTTGAGTGGACTGGTTTAGCCTCCCTGCCCTTGGTGATGAATGGTTCCTCTTAGAAAGATCTCAAAATAAGCAGAAGTCAGGCCACAGTTACTGGTTAAAACAGTCAATGCTGATTTCCATGGATTCAAGAATGTGGCCCTTTATTAAAAGTTTGGCCAATCCATGAAGACCTGACCAGAGAAGTCTAGAATCTGAGCTTTACGAAGCTCACACATCTTGTAAGGTTCACAAACCTCAAAATCCTATAATCTGTATGTGCTTGCATTCTCTGAAATTGCTAAGGAATAAATTGTCATTGGGTGGTCTCAGTTCAGCAAATTTGATTGACAGTCACTATTTAATCTTTCGAAAGCCTGGCTGATGGCCAAGTATAGAAGCATAAATGACAGAATAACTGGGGGAGGAACGCTCTTTGAATGATCTTTAGCAGGGTTTAGGCTTCATTTGTCTGTCTGTCTGTCAGTCAGGAAGTACTTATGCTTTCTGTATGACCTATTGCTTTGAAAGGAAAGTTATCCAGCCTAGTTAACTGCCTAGGTACAAACTGGTCGTTAAAGGACTTCGGTACTGCCATACTTTTAAAAACGAGTCAGATCTCAATCAGAAAACATGAAATTCAAGTGGAGTTTGCCAATTTTGAAGTAGAAAACTGGTGAGTCTGAGCTGTTGGAAAATTGCTCATGAGTTTAAAACAATTACAAAATTAAATAAATTGAAGATATCATCCCAGTTCACAAGGTCATCTTTCTTTGCTGTCTCATGTGTGTTCTGAGACCTTTTTCTTTGAAAGATGATTTGATTTGATACCGCTATCAGCGCAGAGAAGTTTCCGTAATAGTTTAGTGTAACAGAGCCCAGACCACCTCTTTGACTTGAAGCTTCTTTTTACAGGTCAATCCGGGCCACTAACCCCTCTGAGCACACCGTGATCCTGGCTGTGGTTTCACAAGCGTAAGTACATCCCCTACCCCACACCAGCAGCACCCCCATCCCCAATAGCCTCCTTACCCCAGCAGCACCCTCACCAGCAACAGTACCTCCCACCCCCAGCAGCACCGCCACCTCCAGCTCCACCCTCCATCCCAGCAGCCCTCCCACACACAGCATTACTATTCCATCTGAGACACTTATATGATGCAATCCAGTTTTTGAACCAGCTCTGTGATGGGCATATCTTAGACCGTACAATGCCACTCCTAGAACTTGCTTTGAAGGCTTTTTTTCCCCAAGTTTCCAAAAATATTTAGGTTTTTTTTTCCCCCTCTCTCTCTTACATAATTGCTGTTAGCACGTTTTCACACACTTCAGGGGAAAATAGGTTTCTCATCCCCATGACATGCCAAAAATGAGTAGAAAAGCTGAGAACTCTGGAGAGAACGTTGTTCTAGTTCATCTTTTTTCCTTTGAGGAAAATAGAGACGGGAAAGCACTTGAGTTTTCACTGAAGACTGTGGCATAAGAGTACAGAGGTGTCAAATCCATTGCAGGAAAATGATTGTAGGGCTTAGGTGAGGACTTCTGTGTGGCTAACAGCAGCCCATAGGCTTAGGTTGGTTTGGAACTACAAAGAAGATTGGTCTGGCTATCAGTATGGTGACACCCTGGAATGAGAAACTGTTCTGCTGGGTTTAGTGTCTGGAATGTTCTGCACTTAAAACGCAAGGGCTGGCTGAAAGAAAGAAGTAGCTTGTATGTGCTACAATACTTAGAATCCTTGCTGGTGGCAAAATTTATCTTAGTCAATTAATGGCTCTCATTGGATTCAGAGAGACTAAGATGCTAATTAGGACCCGGGACCTGTTGGACTTGCCTCTGTTATGGGGTTTGGCATAGATTCTTTCATAGCTGGGCGTTGGTGGTGCACACCTTTAATCCCAGCACTCGGGAGGCAGAGGCAGGCGGATCTCTGTGAGTTCAAGGCCAGCCTGGTCTCCAGAGCTCCAAAGCTACACAGAGAAACCCTGTCTCGAAAAACAAAAACAAAAAAACAACAACAACAAAAAAACACAGATTCTTTCATAAAGGATCAGGCAGGCTAGCAGCTCTGACAAGAAAGTGTGGGGTTTTCCAGGGCAGGCTGGCCCAGGGGGAGTTGATACTTGTGCCCTGTAGGTCACACTGGCACAAGAGGAAGTCATGGCTGCAGGGGCCTGCCCTGATCAGAGCCTTGTGTTGAAATGGTGCCCTTTGAGGTTCTTTACTTGATGGCTTCAATGGGCTGCTGTCCAAAGAAGGTGAAGCTATGTCCTCATGGGTACCAGATATCTATCATCCTGGTGGGAGATTGATTCCAATAAGAATGAGTGGTGAACTGAAGGAGGTCAGCCTCCTTTTCCACTTATCTCCAGAGATCTGAATAGGATCATACAGCCTTGGACATGACACCAGGGAGACCACACTACACAGCATCTCCCAAGGCCACTTATTCCTTGGGTCCCCAAATGCCTACTGTCCTTTTCATATATCAAAATGTTTATAAGTCCTTGACCAGGAGTGGTTTTCTATGACTTGCTATGATATTTCTGGGTTTTTTTAATTATCAAATGCTTCTTATAAGAGAATGATTCTAAATGGGTGCCTCTGTCTTTAACACTTAGTTTAGAAAATGGAATATTATTGCTTTGGAATCTTTGTAATAAGTAATTCATGGAAGGCAGAAAGTTAGGGAGCAGGGGAAATGGTTTCTCTGTCAGGAATCAGAGTAATTCTGGGTAGAGCCATAGACAAACAGGGCTTACTATTCTGTTTTGTCATGACATTTCTACCCAATCCCTCTTCTATTTGTCTTCCCTAATTTTCAAGGTATGTATCCTCTGCAAATTTCTGGCTATCTTGGGGACCCTCTTTCAGTTTCTTGATGGTGGCTGTTATGAGGCATCCTCGTAACATGCTGGTCCCCATCCTACCCTTTTACTCACTGTTCAGCTCCAGACTCAGTATTGAAAACTGTCTCAGGAGATAGATGGCCATGGGCAGTTTTTGTTTTCCTCCCTTCTAGATTTCTGTTCAAATTTGCACTTCTTTCTCATTTGGTTGTATGGTCCTATAGACTGTAATATTAGTCAGGTGTCTGCATCACCTTGAGATCTGGGCCCAGGTAGGTCTTGGGGTAAGAGTTGTGCACCCAGTTGGATTAGGGACAGTAGCCTTGTGATAAGCAGCATACTTGATGTCTTATTTTGTGGGACTACTCTCACACATCTGCTCCAACCCCAAAGGGCAACCCAGAATTAGTGCTGGCAGCACTTTCAGCACACTGCTGTTGCTTCCTCTGCTGCCTGTGTTCTGCTTACATCTGGAAGACAGATGTGTGTTCTGTGTCCCTGAAGGCAGGTGCTCCTGGGCACATGCTGTTCAGGAAGCCTTTCTATAGCGAACTCCAATGGCCTCATTGCTCTCTCTCCATATTTCAGTGTGAGGAACCCTGGTTTGTATCTGCTGAGTGACCACATTTTCTGCTTTGCTGCAGATCCGATGACCATGAAGAGGCCTCAGTTCTTCCTCTTCTCCACGCAGGCTTCAACCGGGTATGTACAAGGGGACCGAATACCTCTCTCAAGTGCAGATACCACCTCCCTGACTCTCCCTTAGAGGAAAGTGCACAGCCATGAGAGCTATTACAGGAAACAGACCCCAGAACTGGGAATCAAGGAATGGAAGCAGCTGCACTTGGATGGAGTGGCAGTGAACAAGCAAGTGCTGCTCAGCCATTTGCTTCTTGCCATCTTAATTCCATCTATCATAGCAGCTGATGCTCAACAACAATGAAATACCTCTTATAGAAGATCCAAATCCAGCAGTCTCAAAGTGATCCATAGAGCTCCATCTTATCAGTCAGACTCAGCATGTATGTGTGGCCATAGAAAGAGGATGCTCCAAGTTGCCACTTAGGTTCTAGGCTCACCGGGGGCCTGCCCAGAGCTTTTAAACTGAGAGCAGCTTCATGCTGGTTTGTGGACCATTGTTTAACACCAGAAAAAGAAAAGAAAAGTCTCCAATTTGAAGGATAACTCTATGGAACACATTGATATCAACTTAAAGGTTAAAACTGATTGTTCTAGGCAAGGAGGTATAAATGTGAATCTTAGATGGTACTATAGAAAATTTATGGAGTCCTTCCTTCACATTTTATGATAAACATTTATTCCTACTGTTAAAAAAGTAACTGCTTTATTTTAGGTTGTCTTCTGTAAATTTTACAGGTAGTCTACACTTGCACAAATGATTCTATGAGTTCTTGGTGTTTTAAGTAATAATGGTGTTTTGCTACTCTTGGTTTCAAATTGAAATCCTTGGTTGTGGATCATGGAGAAGCAGTAACTTCCTTTGTATAGCAGCCTCCCTGTGCTTTGGCATGCTTCAGCCTGGAAACAGAACTCTGTAAGAGATGTGAGGCAGCATTGATTGGTAATAGAGATGAATGTGTCTAGGTTGCAACATTCCACACTATCTAACACTTTTTCCTGTGTGTCTGTCATCTCTTCTTGTGATGGTTGGCATTTGTCTCTGAAAGCTTGCCTTAAGGATTCGTAAGAGAATACCTCTGAGTTTGGGAATGGAGAATTGCCAGTCGGCAAAGAAGCCATGTGACTGCCATTTTTTAACTCACTCATTTTCTAAAAATAACTCTGAATTTATTCATGTTTTATTGATCTTCTATGTCACATGGACCACACCACTCCACCCAATTCCCACACTGACCTTTCCAAGTGTGAGTCAGGACTCTGAGAGAATGGGGACATTGGCTTTCCTGGTTACAATGGTTTTCCAATTGAAGGATGACCTTGATGTGCAACTGTTGGCTTTATCAATTAGGTGGCACATTGGTCTCTTGAGTGGCCCTGGAATTCTGCTTCAGTTCACTGATCTTCCCTCCACAGATTTGTGGCTGGTGCCATTTGGAAGATAGCTTCTTCACTGGAGGACAGAGATTTCGTGTCTGTTGACAGGAAAGCTTAGGGAATGATTGTCACTCTTTAGGTGACAAATATTCTTAAGAAAACAAAGGTCCACTGTCTTCTTTTTACCTGTCTTGTGCTACTTCACAATGTCTCCTGTGCCCAGGTCCCTATGTGTCATACACATTGAATGAACCCATGGTTAATGAGAGCTTACAAGACAGTGCCTACCAGAGATTACCTAGTGTCCTGTTTGGTCAAGTCCATTCACCAATGCATCAGGGTATCTCCACCCCTCAGGTTTTCTCCCAGGGAAGCACATGGTGCCCCTGATGGTTTTCTCTGTGTGCTGTGGCCTTGCTGCGGTGGAGGTGGATCTCCAGGCAGCTGCTCCATTTGTCTGGGGGAAGATCTTGTCTTTGGCAGCTCTCTATCCAAGTACCTTCCAGATATGCCAGCTAGTCTTGCCTTCTGTGAGGTTGTTTCTCTTTCCTGATTTGTTTTGATTACATGGTTTGCTGAAACTTGGCTTTATACGACTAGCTATTGGGCCAGCCCACTGGTCTCTGAGCCGTTGGTGAGGATCCAGGAAGAAATTGTACCATCAAACATACCCCAACAACTTCCTTGGAAGCCTTTGAAGCCCTGAGCAAGTGGCCAGCTGCAGTGGTTCTCAGGCCACACTGTGCTTTGTGGAACCCAGCATCTTGCCCAGTGCAGCTGCTCTTAAACTCACCTTCCTGTGCTTTTTTATTTAAAGCTGAAATGATACTTATTCATCCCAACAAGTAGTTATGGGGCTCTATGTGCAAGGCAATGTGTAAGGCATGCTGGGCTCACAGCTGTGAGCCACACTTCTCCCCGGAGAGACTTCCTTTGGAGTGGGAAGTCGAGGAGCTACAAGTATTATTTGTCAGGCCCAGTTCCAGGTGATTTGCTTAATTTTTCTCAACATATGAAGGATTTGATATTTTCTCTGTCTTTTCAGAGGAGGAAACAGACTCTAAAATCTGAATACTTAGAGATTCATCACAAAGGCAAGGCTGCAGCTGGGCATGTTCACTCCTCACTGTTTTGGGTCCACCCACTAACATAGTTTCTAGAGCCATGCCATGTAGTATTCTCCCAAGAGCTCCTGTGTTCCATGAAAAGCGGCCTCCTGGGTGAAATTGGTTTGGTGAATTTGTAGACTGGATACTCCTCCTTCCAGTAAGAACCCTCAGCACACATTGGCAACTGGGCACATCAGTCTACAAGATGGTCTGGGGGCTCCTAGAGTCAAGATCCATTCATCCCAGCATCATCTAAACTCACTTATGGAAATTCCAGCATATTTGACCATCATTTCACTCATCTAAAAACTCGACAGACATGAATGTCGATCAACTCTGCTTTATGAGTAAAAGAGCAAGTATTTCCTTTCTGTGTGTATTTGTGGCTTTCCTTTTTCTTAGTTTCTCTCTACTCCACTCAGAGAGTAAGTGGCCTATGGGAAGTTAGAGGGTTTCAAAGCTATTACTCAAGGAGAGACCATCCACGACTTCTTTTTCAAAATGTTTCTTGTGTGTGTGTGTGTGTGTGTGTGTGTGTGTGTGTGTACATGTATGTGAACACACACTAACATGCTGAGGCAGAAGGGAAGAGAGGATGGGTCTGGCATTCCCCCCTCCATCTACTTAGCTGCATGGGAAGCACTAATGTAACTGGAATCTTTTTTTTTTTTTCTCACTGGTGTGATAGCTCTGTATGCTTAGAAAGTTTTTGCAAAGTTTACGGTTTTTTTTTTTGTTTGTTTGTTTTTTGTTTTCCCAAGACAGGGTTTCTCTGTGTAGCTTTGGAGCCTATCCTGGCACTCGCTCTGGAGACCAGGCTGGCCTCGAACTCACAGAGATCCACCTGCCTCTGCCTCCGAGTACTGGGATTAAAGGCATGCGCCACCAACGCCTGGCAGTTTACATTTTCTTTATGAGGTAAAATGTAAGAAGACATTTTTTTTCAGTCTTAAGTAAATCTGTTTCCTTATCATTTTTCCTTGCTATTTTTCTGCTTTTCTCATTTCTCATAAAAGTGTTGACGTGTTCATATGAGGAAAATGTATGATTTCGTGTATATCTTACACCAAATAATGCACTCAATTTAAAAAATATAAAGATGGGGCTGGAAAGGTATCTCAGCGGTTAAGCACTGGCTGCCCTTCCAGGAGACCCAGGTTCAATTCTCAGCACCTACCTGGTGTCTCACAGCTAGCTGTTGGTAACTCCAGTTCCAGAAGACCCAACACCCTGCCCTGGTCTCTGTGGGCACTCCATGCATGTGGTACATATACATAAATGCAGGCAAAATACCCTTGTACAAAAAATCTAAAAAATATTAGTATAAAATTGAGTTTGAGATCGTTGAGAAGGTTCAAGAAGTGCATATGTCACAGCTCTTTGATGAGTGTGTTGCACACTGTATTTTGTTTGACTTTAGGCTTTGCTTATGCATTTACTCAACCCACCAAAGGTTTGTAAATATGTGAAAGCTCTTTTTTCTAATTGAGATGAAACTAAAACAGACCATTTTAAAGTGAACAGTGCAGTGACATTTAGAGCATTGGCGATGTGCAATTCCTAACCTTGGTCTCCTTCTAAAGCATTTCCCTTCACCCCAACTTCCCACTAATCAGTCAGTCCTGGTCCTGCTTCCCAAGCTCTGGCAAGCATCTGCAGTCTGTGTGTAGGGATTCATCTGTCGTGGTAATGTGCATAAATGGAATAATATAGCGTGTGACTTTTGGTGTCTGTCTTCTCTCACTTTATATTCTTGAGGGGTTTGCATGCTGTAGCATGCATCAGAATTTCATTCCTGTCTTACATCTGGATAAAATCCCACTGTATGTACATACCACAATCTGTGTATCCATCCATTTCTTTCTAGACTGTTATCCTACCCCATAGCCATGTAAAAAAGCTGGTGTGGACCTGATTCTACAGGGGTTTGCTTGATGTAGCCATTTTCAATTCTTTTGCTTACATATCTAAAGTTTAATTTTTGAATAACACATTATTTCCCCCAGTAACTAAACCTTTTCATATCCCCATCAGCAACACATAGGACTCTAATCCTGCACATTTTTACTAATACTTATTTTTCTTTTTTAATTATACCTATTCTAGTGGGTATAAAATGACATTATACTATCCTTTTGATCTGTATCTCTTTAGTCTGATGAGGATGGACATCCTTCATGTGCTTGCTGAGCAAATTTTATATGTTTTCTTGGAGAAATGTCTACTCAAATCCTTTGCCTGTTTTTTCATTTGATTTTCCTTCATCTGCTGTTGAGATCACTGACACTTCAAACGAGCTCTGTATTAGGTACCCAAAAGATTCAGAAAGAGGCAAAGAACACTCCCATAAAATGCATCGATGGCACATTGCAGCCTGAGCACGATGCTTATTGAGTTTCAGGCAATTGTTACAGGATAAAGCAGGAATGGTTCAGTAATTGACACAGTTTGGGAGGCACGCTGGGCTCTTGTGTGTTTACTTTGCTGTGACTCCTCATAATGACGTCTGCCCCATCTTTGTTATAAAGTGAGCCAAGTGCATCACCTGCTCTGTTGTTTCTCTGACATTTGAACAAGCACTTCACATTCCTTGACAACTTTCCCCTGTCATCCCTTCCTACCTACAAGATGTCTTGCATAATGAGCTACCTGGGGGCAGGAACAACTGTTAAGTTTCTCTGTTTGACTCTCTAAGAAATAATTGGAAATGTCTTATGCATTATCTTTGCTTTCTTTTCAGAGATTTATGGAGAATAGCAGCATAATTGCTTGCTATAATGAACTGATTCAAATAGAACATGGGGAAGTTCGCTCACAGTTCAAATTACGGTATGTAGCAAAATAAGACAATACTTGAGGTTAAGGATTCTTTAGAAAAATCTTAACTGTCAACAGGCTGAAGTTCACAGATTTATAGCTGCTGTCTGGGATTTTGAAGCTAGTTAGACTGCCAGCCAATGGCAATATGTTAACTGGAGTCCCTTGATATAATGAAAGAAATTGAAAAGCATGCCTTTCTTGCCAGTATCTCCCACTATTTGTGGCAGTGTTAAAATCATGGCCTAGGAAGTCCTGATCAAGTCATGTAATTAGACTGAGATTAAGAGCAGCTTTTAAGAATTACTTTCAAATTCTGACTTCCAACTTCACAAATTCCTGTTGTGTTGTTATAGTCGGAGAAGCCAATAGGCACATTTATTACACTAACCATCATAATGGCTATGCGTCGATCTCATGAAGTGTGCCTCAATATGCATGGCTTATCATTGAGAAAGCAACTTTAGGTGTCTTGGTAGATATGCAGTGGTCTTGGTAGGTATGCACTGGCTCTTCATTGTGTGTGTGGATCTTTGGGTGTCATCTACTTAAAGGGTCTCTTGGAACATCAGGGTCCTAGCACCTGTCTAGTTTAGTTAAAGCTCTGCTCTGGCTTTCTGTTAAACACCTGATTTCTTCAACCTGCCCTTTTTAACCAGAGAACATGAGTATACCATTGGCCCCATGGACAGACCAGTTTCTAGGAGCTTCCTGCCTCCTTCAGGGATGTCTTTACATGGCTTCTTTCTCTGGCCAGCTAAGAGGTACCTCTTCATACCTTGTGCCCAGTGCAAAAACCAAGAGAAGACCTTATACCATAGTTATACTTTTAATCTCCATTACTTATTTTGTATCTAAATTTGACAAAGTAGTTTTAAAGCTAATTTTCTCCACTCCCTTGGATGCAGAATGATTGGCATAGAGCCACAGAAGCAGGTTGCCCAGGTCTGGGTATTTTCTTTTGGTGATAGCAGTGGTGTAAGAAATGAAATGTTAGGTTAAGCAATCACTCTCTTAGATGAGAATGTGGTGTTTTCTTGTGTGTGTGTGTGTGTGTGTGTGTGTGTGTGTGTGTGTGTTTTAAGAATGTTGATGTGGCCACCAAGCTGAGTTTACTCTCTGGGTTCCCCCATGGTGGCAGAAGCAGATGACTCCAGCAAGTTGTCCTTTGACCTTCATGTGTGTCATGCCATGAGTGTGCATAGCATGCACGCACACACACACACACACACACACACACACACAAACATACAAATAGTAAGTAATGATAAAGAAATATTTTTAAGAAGTCAAAGTATGCCTTAAGGAATAGCATAGTATCAAAGACATCTTGAATGTTTAAATAAGTTAAATCCCTTGGTTTCTTTTTATCTGTTTACTTCAGGTAACTTCATACAAATTTTCTAAAAACAACAACAAAAAAAACCTACCTTTTCTTTGCTTCAGTAATTTATTCTCTTACTAATGTACATTAAGTGTATGTATTTCCTGGGAAGCTCTGTTGATTTTAACTAAGAGTAAAACAACTTAGAACTTTGAGTTTTGATGGTTTTGCAATAAATAAAAAGAGAAAAGAGTGATTTCCTTGGGGTTTGATCCTTTAACTTTATGTCTTGCAATAAAAGCAAATGACCCACCATCTTATCGCTGTGACCAGGAACTCCTCATGCTATTTTGAATCAGTGCTTTTGTATTCTTAGGCAACAGAACATGTGATGGCCCTGTTAGATGGTGCCCCAATTTGGATTCCACAGAGATTTGGGCACTGGGGTTCCCTCAGGGAGGTTCCCTCACCTTGACCATGGTGAGCAGGACTCAAGCAGGCCTGGTGGTCTGAAAGGAATGCCCCAGTCAGTCCTTTCTTTAGGTCACTGTGTTATTGAGATCTGTGCAGACAAAGATGTGTGTGGGAGCGCTCATTATCTCATAACTGCAAGCCTCTCAGTTCCTAACCCTGTGAGCACTACAACTGCTCATCTGTTCTCTGATAGGAACTGGTTGGAAGAGATGGACCCATTGCTACGGTCATAAGGAAATGCTCAGGCTCTTCACGTAAACCAGCTTGAAAGGAGTCAATGGACTTAACCCAGAAAGCAGTAGCTCCAGGAAGCAGGGCTCACTCATGGATGTTCTTTCCTTCTCCTGTGACACTGTTGGTTCTCTGTCCTTCCCCCAGCCTTGCTTGAGTTCACTCCCTTTGGGGACCTGGGAGTGCATGCTCATTACTTGAGTCTCCCCGGGCCTACAAAATGTAGACCTAGCAGACAGAGGACAATGATCGAGACAATGGTCTTGTTCCAGCTCTTTAGGGCATTCAAGGACATAGAGAGAATTTACCTGGACCCCAAGGCAGACAAGCAACTATGTATGTCATTTGTTAAAGACTGGGAAATGAGCTCTTTATTATACAATGCCAGAATAATTATAGTCTAATTATGTAATACTTTCCCCTACAATTCCGCCCCCAGCTGCAGCTAAATATGTAGCATGACTGTCATTCTGCAAGGACACAGCCTGCACTGCATGGTGCTACCAGTGTTAAAGCTGGACACTTCAGTCCAGGACTCTGAGAATGGTGACTACCATCTATACTGTACAAAACAAATAAATCATTCAAGTCTGATCTAATCGAGCAAATGACAGGGCTTACCTGTAAACTTCCTCTGTGTAGAATATGTTTTAGGGACATCAGACCTAATCCCTTCTGTGTACATTTGTTGAGTTACTCCTCTGAACAGAGTTCATGAATAGCAGTGTCCAGGATGAGCCAAGCTAAATGCTGAACATGTAGCATTTCTAATGTGCTTGGGTTTCTTTATCATGAAAAGACCTTGTCACTAAAATAAAAACAGTGATTTTTCAACAGAGCAGAAGTTTATGCTCATACAGTTTCAGAGTTTCTTCCCATTATTAGTGTAGGAGTTACACAGAAATCATGTTTATTTTACATAAGACAGCAGTAGTCTTCAAGTTTAGAAAGATTCAGGGCCTGATCGGTGAATGCCTTGTGGAGCACCACATCTCTCATAAACACATCTGTAGAGCCTTTATCTTTTATATGGCTTCTAGGCAGTAGCTGATGTGTTGCAGCAGTGGGCACAGAGCTGTGAAGACTTAAAATAATCATCCCTTCTCATCCACCTCCCGTGACTGCCACCAAGTAGCAATCCCATAATTCCCCTTTGCCTGTTCTTCTGTCTGCCTGGCTAACTTTGAGCCTCTGATTGGATGTGAACTTGTGTTCAGAATCTTCTAAAAAGCCATTGCCTTGCTGAGCCCTACTCTTGTTGAAGGTAATGTGTGCATGTATGTGCATGAGTGTGTGTGTGTGTGTGTGTGTGTGTGTGTGTGTGTGTGTGTGTGTGCTTTTTGGGTAGAATCCAGATGAAGTACCTTTCTGAGATATGCATGCAGAACAGCACATGATATTCCAGCCACAACTGACCAGAAAACATTGAGAGCCAGCAGTGTTCTCCATATGATCTCAGCTGCCTAGCACCCTGACTGAACAGGTTGTACAACCAGGCACTCCGTATTTGCCATTGTGCACTTAGCACCCACTGTGCCACTGTGCTGTTTATGGACATTCTACCTATACCCCAGGATAGCTGCCTTTTCCATCTGAGCCTTTGAATAAACGATTACATTATCCATTATTTTTTCCCTTCTGTTTCTTTTTTTCCCTCCCAATTCTATAACCTCTAACCTTAAGGATAAAATGTAAGAACACCTGAGAATGAAGTTCATGGTTCCCAAGAACAGAAACTAATAAGGCTACAGGTTTTCTGCCTGAAAAGTATGAATAATTAATACCAGCAATTAGGTCCCCTGGTTCTAGGAACATGACTCAAATTGATTGCCCCATTTTGCTGTGGGTTTATTTAAATAGAGCCATCAACCCAAAGAGGTTGAGAAGCCCCCAAACATCACAGGTGGTCATGCGTGGCATGGTAGGGATAGAAGGTGTATACTGTGTCATTCCTATTCCTGCCAGTGTCCCTTCATGTCGATGGGCAGTGTAGGGGTTTACTGTGTCCTCTTGAGCATTACATCTACTGAAGTGTTTAGGTTTTATGGATAACCAGAGCATGATGTACAAAGGCCGTAGGACTTATTAAGAACTGCCTTGAGAACAGACAACATGAAGCACCGGTTCGCACATTTAGTTGAGATGTACAGATACCTTACAGAAAACCCTATGCCAGAGAGGAGCATGACAAGATGTGTTCATTAGAATTTAATTACCCAGCTCTCAAAGCTGACAAATTAGCCTACGTGGAGTCTGTGTCTCCACGCATCACTTCTGAAAGGTCATTAGTATCTGGAACGACTTTCCCATGGAGCTGAGCTCAGTCTAGACCAGGTGTCTGGAAAGTGCTTTTGATAAGCCTGGCTCTGGCTTGCCTCTCAAGAGGCAATGCAGTGATGACAGTGATAACAATCTTAGTATCTTTTTTTTAATGTTTTACTTACTTTATAGAACATGTTTACAAACACAGTGGTGGTGGCTAGACAGTATACAGTACAAATTAGTTGGGTGCACAACTGGAATGAAAAAATAGCTTGCAAGGCTCAAGAATGTCAGAGGCATCAAGCTAGTCCCATTCTCTGCCCTGCTGACCAGAGCATGGATGCTTGTCTTACCTACCTGTATGCAGATAGCCCCGTCTCTTCATCCATAGAAACAAGCATCATCCTTCAGTGTGCTGGGGTCCTTCCCACTGCAGGCTGGTTACCTTGTTGTTACTGAGTCCCATTCAGATAGATTCAGGGAAAAGATAGGTTGCAATTAGTTTTTCTTTTCTCTGGATGTTTTTGCAAGCCTCGGAGAACAAAGCACTATGGCTCTGTGGCTTTACAAGTAGTAACACCTACCTCACACTGTATTCTTCCATGAGTGGTTCTGAGCACTTTGAGAAATGCTGGTGTAAGTCATCTGTTGCTCTGATCATTACAAAACCCTATGAAATACATGTTCTTACAGTTATTCTCTAGATGGGGAAAACAAGGGCAAGCAAAGACCAGAAGGTGCCCAGGATCCTATAGCGGGAAAATACAGTCCAATTTTACCCAGTGCTCTGTCATTTCCTAACAAATAGGTCAAAGTGGCAGCAAATTGCATTCCCTCACGCTAGGAAAATAACAGTAAAGAATTTGCCCTACAAGAAGAAATATCCACCCCATAAATCAATCTTTTCCTTTCTTTTTATTTTTTTCTTTACACTATGTAAGAAAGTCTTCCCTGGCTTTAAACAGTTCATCTAAATAGCAGGGTTCTAGCCATGTGGTTGCTGTATCAGCTAGTATAGAACTTGATGTATTTGGAGTTATTTTCTATGGAGGAGTTCATGAAAATAAAAACTGCAATTAGAGCCTGATTTCAAATATCTCAGATACACATGGTGGATCAGCAAGGAAAGAGCCATGTAAAAAGCTATACAGGTGTAAAGAACTGGACAAGGGAGGATCAGATCCACCTGCCACTCCTGTCTTTCTTCATACCAGTGGGTGTGGCTGTAGGCAAAGTGGCATTGCAAACCTAAGAAAAGGAAAACAAATGTTATTCTGTGTGTTGCAAAAGGCCAGAATATCCCAAGGTCAGTTAGGGCTGGGCTAGGTTCTAATCATTGGGAACTTGCCCTTCTCTGTGACTATGACTGGCCATACTACAGCATTGAACATTGTATTGAAATGTCAAGACTTGGGGGATACTAACTGTCAGGTCATAACAGTAATAGAATGCATAGTACCAATGACTCTGTCTGTCAATGTTGCTAAATTAACAAAGTTCAAACAATGTTTTATAGAACTAACTCTAATCTTATGCATCTTTCAGGGCCTGTAATTCAGTGTTTACAGCGTTAGACCACTGTCATGAAGCCATAGAAATAACAAGTGATGATCATGTGATTCAGGTATGGGAAGAAGCTCTTTGCATCATTAACACTAAAAAAGAGCATTTCATGTTCTATCTATCTCTTTATTTAAAAAACATCACCATAATTTTCACATATTTGCACCATTTTTTGAAGAAAGGAAAAAAATCAATGTATGAGATGACCACTGATAAACTTAAGAATTGGCTATCCAAAAGAGAACAAAGTTATTTTATGATTTATTATTTTTAAAGTGTGTGTGTGTGTGTGTGTGTGTGTGTGTGTGTGTGTGTATGTGAGTGTGCACACAAACATACGTATGTGGGTGCCTATAGAGTCCAGGAGAGGGTTTCTGATACCCAGGAGCTGGAGTTATGAGCAGTTGTGTGCCAACCAATGCAGGTGCTGGGAACTGAACCCAGTGCTCTTTACAATTACTTCTCTATCCCGAATAGGATAAACTTATTTATTCAGATCAGAAGTTGCTATTTCCTAGGTAGAAGTGAGAGAGAATTTTCAGCCATCTGTAAGGACAGTATTCACATAGGATTGTTGAGCGAATGCTTCTAAGTGGCTATGGGAGCAGAATACTTTAAAGATACGTGTTCACCTGCCATTGGTACTCTATTATAAAGCTCTTTAATACTAATCCCATCTTTCTCAAGAAATGCACACACAGAGAACCTTTTACCTGCTTTGAAGAGTACTCTGAAATGTACCCGGTCCACTGATTAGTACTGGCCTGGGTACAGCTGGTGTGCAGTGTCACTGAGGAGCACTTGCTTTCATCAGTGACCAGAACACCGTGGCCCCTATGGCATCAGCCTCCACTTGAACCCTCTGATGTCCCCAGTGTGCACACAGGCATACCTTGCTCCTGTTCCAGGTCAGAGGTATCATGGGCCCACCACATCTTGTTCCTATCACAAGCAGTCTCATTGGGTAGTCTCAGCTTAGTTATGTACCTTTGACAGGTAGATGGGGAAACTGAGGCCTAGCAAAGTAGAGGGTGAGCAGTGAGCACTGAAATCAAGTTATCTTGCCACATTCTTACTCCTGAGCCTTCCTGCCTGGCTTCATTTGGGGCTAGATTTAGAATATTTTCTTGACTGTCCCTTGAAATAAAACTGAAAGCTTCTATACATTACTGGCTATGTTTACACTTCCTGCCTACCACTCCATATCCTGAACCACACTGAAAGCTGGGCACAAACGCCATGCTCGCATGCAGACATGGTTCTTCTGTCCTGCTCATGAGGACAGTGGCTTTGCATCTGCCCACGTCACAGTGGGAAGCTGGGTTGTGATTCAGAACTGATGAGAAGTAGCCCTGCCCTCCCATACCTTCTCCACCCTGGACAGGAATGGAGCCCTTTACCCCATGGCCACAATCTGTGGTTTAGCAAACCTGAATCCCTGGAAGAAGTAATGTGGTGATGTGTCACATGACATAAATCATCCCCTTGCTCCAGTCTCTTCCATGAACAGAAAGAAATGGGTGTGAGGATAGTTGGTGCCCACACCGGGGAAGTTGCTATGCTGAAAGGGACATTTGGCTCCTGAAATAAGCTGACATGTGAGAGGAAGGAAGGGGAAGCAGAGCAAGGGGTGAGACATGGAGGGGACACTCAGCTGGATTTCAGGGTGACAGATACATCAAGGCCATCCCATGTGTTTTTGATTCACATCAGCGCCCCATCTTAGGGCACTTGAACAGATAGCCGTGTGTCTGTGGACATAGGTGATACACTTAGAATTTAAAACAGCATCTTACATGTCAATCTGTCTATCCCTGCCAACTCTATGTCTTCTTCCACATGAACCATCTATCTGCATTTGCTCTGAAAACATTTGCATATGCTTCCCATGTGCTGGCAGAGCTATGAGCGTTTTATACTCATTGATCTCTCAAGCAATTCTGGGAACCGGGCAGTGTTATTGCAGATGAACAAACAAGCAAGCACAGAGGGGCAGAGAAATGGAGTCATCTTCTCATGGTTCCAGAGAGTTTGAATATGGGTGCATTGGCTCAGTCATGTCTGTTATGCCTCTGGGTTCTGAGGTTCCAGGATCTCCAACATAAAAAAGAGCCATAACCATCACTCAGATTTACAGGATGGGAAAGTGGAGCCCACACTTATGACAACCTAGGAGACAATCAACAGAGCAGGAAAAGAATAAACTCTCTAATGTACCCATTTACTCAGGGGGTGTTTGCTGCACAGTGTGTCTCCAAACACGGCTCTACCCTTTACACCTGAGGACTGCAGTGTCCTCTGAGAGAGAAAGACAAATGTCAAGCTCTATGGGACTCATTGGATTTTACTACATAGAAGTCCATGGGAGCCCTTAGGAATGGTACCAACTCAGACAGAGCAAAGGTCAAAGAAGGCTTCCTGGAGGAAGAGGCCCATTGAAGTTGGTGGGAGAGAAATGAGGAAGGGCTTTCTCAGCAGACAGAGAATGTGGGGGAAAGCCTAGAGAGGGAGACGTGCTGTCATCTCAACCATAGTGGGAGTGATCCCTGCCATGCCCAAGGATGGCAGTGCCTGCCCCATGGAAGTGCTAGGCTGGGAGGGATCCGGACGTTGTGAAGATGGTATCAGGACCCCCTCCTCTTCATCCTCCCATAGTGCCTGACAGCCAGAGATTCCTCCACATTCTCATCTCTTCAGCTCTTAGGGCTGACATGTTCATAGAAGCTTTGCTCCCAAGGGAATATCCCCCCACCGCAGTGTCCCTGTGTTACCCACTTCCTAATGGCTTACCCTAGCCAAGGGGAGGGTGGGAATGGCTAGTGAGAATGTTTCTGAGGCAGCAGATGGATGGAAATTTTCCCAAAGAAACTGTTGACCCAGGTGCAGTGTGCTCACATCTGCTGCCACTTGCTCTCTCAGCTACGGCTACTCATGTGATGACTGTATCTTTAAAAAGAAATTGGTGGAGGACTGGAGCCTGGGGCCAGATAAGGCAGTTGCTCCAAATTCCAGAAGCTCCCCACCTGCAGAACTTTGCTCACGACCCTCTGAATCTGCTGACCTCTGAGTATACTGTGGGCATCGTCTCTCCTTGCCCACCCTAAACCCAGCACTGGAAGAGCATGCATTGACCCTGTAGGCTAACTGCCTTTGTTATTCACTTTAGGTCAGGGTTCTCCCAACTGTAGCATTGATTACTAGATGGGGAAAGTGGAAAGACACATAACATCAGGTAGCTGCATTGCATGGCGTGACTAACAGAAGCTGCAACTTGATGACTAGTATGTGTTGGCCTATTTGTTGTTTAGTGGTGCTGGGGGAACCTTACATGTGCCAGGCAAGCACTGTGCCACCAAGCTGCAAACCCAGCCCTCTTCCTATTTCTGTTTTCCTATGAGGGTTTCCTTATTTCCTAGGGTGGTAGACAGTGAATAAGGTTCATCAGAGGCCGGGGCGACTAGACAAGGGTTTCCTGCTGAGGTCTCTGCATTTCTCACAGAGGACCAGGATGTCACATGAATACATCAGTTGCCGTATGTGTGAAGGTACTGCTCATAGCAGATGAAGGAGGGGCCTGCAGCACCACATTAGAGAGTGTTGTCCTAGGGACATTTGGCTCTGTATATTTGTATCCCACAGCCTCCCTGTAGGGCACACTGATCTGTAACCCCTCCTACTCACAGTATGTCAACCCCGCCTTTGAGAGGATGATGGGCTACCACAAAGGGGAGCTTCTGGGGAAAGAACTCGCTGACCTACCTAAGAGTGACAAGAACCGGGCAGACCTCCTGGACACCATCAATACGTGCATCAAGAAGGGAAAGGTGGGTGGAACCGAGAACCCACTCATACTCCTCCCTTAGTGCCCCCGCCCCCCCCATGTTTTAGTCTTTTGTCTTTTATAGACTGCCTTTAGTAATGTCAAAGTTCAGTGAAAGAGCTTCCATTTGCAGTTTGCCAAAGGACTTGCTGGGCTACTTCTCGATGACAACATGGTGACACAGGAGCTGATTGTTTTGTGGATGGGCCACTTTCCCCCTTGCATGAATATACCGCCACCTACCCCTAGCATTGCGTCCCTAAGCAGGGTTCTACCCCAGATAGCTGCTCCTCACTTTTTAGTTTCTTGGTGTTTGGGAGGAGGGCCTAGAGAGACCTACAATCCACACTGACTGATAGGCTCTGCTGAGTCAGTCAACTATCTTCCGTCTTGCTTCTGGTCTCCTCACTCACTGCGGTGCAATATCCATGGGTAACTCTTCCTCCCCAGCCCACTCTGCCCCTAACTTCTATACTTTTCTGCTGCTTCTGGGGGAGATGAAGGCACAGTGGAGGTGAGGGAGATGTTTCCTGGGCAGTAGCTCTCCTCCCTCAGAGCTGGAGTGACCGCTTGCTTCTGAGGCATCCTAATGCTCTTCACATGGCTTTGCTTTCTTCTTCTCTCTATTGTGCAGTAGTTAAGCATCATCTTCCTTGGAGGGGGTAGAATAAATTTGGATTATAAAAGTGTCCAAATTACTTTTAAAATCAGATCTATTAGACTTGAAGATGAAACAGGATACTGTAATTACTCCATTATTTTTGTTTTGTTTTGGGTTGGGTTTTTTGCCAAAATAACCCAGCCACATGTGGTAACTTCAAAGGGCACACTCTTTAGCCATGTCATATACAAGAGAGAGCAAGACATGGCTGCAGGGAAACTCAGGTTCAGTTATCTATTCCCTTCCAGAAACTGGAGAAAGCTCCCTACCCTGAGGCTTCCTGCTTCCAGTCCAGTTCCCAGGGTCCTGTGGCAGCAGGAACTTTATCCTCCCCTTGACACCATCTTATGGAAACTGCAAGAGACCATAGAGACCCTTAGGTGGGATCCCCCTAGAGTCTCAGAAAGCTGAGGCACTTTGGGAAGGGTTAAAGAACTACACAGTTATGAAGAGATCCTCTGTTTCCCTGTGTGGGCAAAGTAGTTGGACTCTCTGAGCCTCAGTTTACCCATCTGTCAGTTGAGAGTAATAATATCAGGCCCACTGGTAGTTGTGCAGACTTTGAGACTGGCTACTGGACTCTGATGCAGTGGTACCCTGAGGGAACTCCATCTGCCCTGGAACTATAGCAGGCAACTTGGTAGTAGACATGCTGGCCTGGGGCTCTTACATTTAGACATGGTGATCTTCATAGCACTGTAGTGGGTACAACCATACAGCAGTTTTGTGACATGTATTGGAAGTCTGTGGGAAGTTCTGACTCAACCTGCTAACATACAGTGTGGAAGCATCTGTGGTCTCGACTGAAGGATCTTAAGAGCTCTCTTTGTCCATGTAGGAGTGGCAGGGGGTTTACTATGCCAGACGGAAATCCGGGGACAGCATCCAACAGCACGTGAAGATCACCCCAGTGATTGGCCAAGGAGGGTGAGAGCAAACTCTTCCACTCTTTCTGCTGCAGTTAAGGGCTCAGGCCCTCACTGGCATTGTAAGCCATAGGACAACACACATGATAGCATTTGCCCTGTCTTATGTGGCCAGCAGCAATCTCTAGACATGGTTTCCCTCTGCTCCCACCCATGCCTCCTCTCCTCTCCATGCTCTTTCATGCAGCATCAGCCCTATTCCCCAGCTAGCCACCTGCTCATGAATGGCCCATTGCTCCCAACAACTCTCAGGGTCTCTGGCTGTCCTTCCCCATGGCAAGTGAACTCCAGCTAGCACTACTGGCTTCTTCCCTCAGCCCACAGGGTGCTAACCTCTCTTTGAAGCTCCAGTTTGTTCCATATTGACTCTGAGCTTATGCAAGGGCTCAGAGTGTCCTAAAGGTACTAACCTACAACACAAGGTATCTGAACAAGAGCCAATGACACCTGGCCAGAGAAACATGGGGGTAGGGCATGAGAAATAAAACATATGATTCCTTTTCCTTCTGCCAGTTATATTTTGAGGAAAGGCTCCAAGTGCCAGATGGGAGTCCTAACTATATCTCACTGATGAGCCTGGCAACCAGCATGAAGGTCAATATTACATGATGGTTTGACCTCATAAAGGACACTTGATGTGTGACATATTGGTGAAGAAAATAAGATAGTGGTTACTGGGGGCCAAATAACCCCTCTCACATACAGTTTCTAGGACCACCTGAGTTCATTTTAGCTCATCATGTGATTAGAAGACCATCCCATAAGATCACCCACCTATTTGAAGGCTGTTTCCCTACAATTTTCCCTGCTGGATTAATTTGAAAATTGTTCTCTAGTCACTTGAGAGACTACTGCCTAGTGTTTCTTTTGAGGCTACTCTCTGACTGGCTTCTGGGGTTTTCAGGTCCTGGCAGGCTCCTAAACAAGGTTTGTCCACCACAGTAAGAGGCTGCCTGCCCTCCCAACAGGCCCTGGCTCAGCTTAGCGATCCCAACAGTGGCCAATACAGGAAAGAATTGGTGCCTGAGGCTGTCACATTGTCCTTGTGGCCAGTCTTAGACTGTCTTTTTGGGAAATGGAATCTGATCCTTTCCTGTGTTTAACTAGAATCAGAGGGTAATCAAAATGGAGGAGATATGCCACTGCCTGGTAATTTTTATCAGAATTTTTTTTTTCTGATTTGACAGATGAGGGAAAGAAATTCTTTTACTCGGACATGGTTTCGTGTTATTTTCCCTAATTGTAGGCAGTGAGCTCTCAGAGGCAACTCTGATTTAAAAATGGGGATATTTTACCCCTTCTTCTTTGGTGACGTTCATATTACAGGACCCATGAGTGTCTTCCCATGTGCTCGACAGAGAATCCTCCAGGGTGCAGTGAACCAGGAAGAAGGAGGGGGTAGAGATAGGGAAAGGGATGCGTGGGCTTCCTGGTGTACAGTCTTACATAGTGTGTTTCACTGCTTTAATCTAAGGAGACAGTCTACCTTGGGCTGACTTGCACAGGGCTAGTGCATCTGGCATCTTTTGTCCTAGTCCCCTTGTGGCAATGAGCAATACCATGGGCTAAGTTCCTGGATTCAGTTCATGACTTTTTAATCAGAGGATGTTTTCATCCTTATGATGAACCGCAGTGAGCAGGGAGAACAATTAAAAGGAAACCATGAGTCTCGTCGTTACCGTGTGTGCCATATAGGGCGTTTGAAAGAAAAACAGTAACCGGTGAAATTTGGTCACCGTCCAAATGAGTCTTTGCTTTTCCTGTAAGCGATGAAATATTTGTGTCAGTAGAATTAAAGCCAATTTTTCTGTGGTAGCATGTCAATTTCTCCTGAAGAGATCCAGGAGTCAAACTTCAGGAGGCAGCTGGAAAAAAATGACAGGCTCGTGAGGGATGAGTGGTCACACCAGCAGGGATTGCAGGGAGGCCAGGCTTCCGAAGGAAAATGAGGTTTTGTGACCAAATCGGCACTGGGAAGGGCCTGGCCTTTAGCTTTGAGGAGACTTGTTGTATCCGTGTGCTGCCTTATTGCATCCTCTTCTTTCCAACTAATCACTGATTGTTTATGTTATTAGGAAAATTAGGCATTTTGTCTCCCTCAAGAAGCTGTGCTGTACCACTGACAATAACAAGCAGGTACAGTATTCAGTGTCCTCTGCCGCTCTGTCAGCTTGCCCATGCGTCATTCTCGCCCCTGTTCTCTGCTTGTCTTTCTCCATATTTTCTTGTAATTGTTATCTAAGAAGGTGTATGAGGCAACCTCTGGCAGGTTGTTTTTTTTTTTAATTTTATTTTTCAGTTATCCACAAGCCTGTCTTACTTGGTTAGGAGTATGCTTTGGTTATGCTATGCTCATGACTCTCTCCAGGCTAATACATTTTATGGGAACATAAGATTCTTCCTCAAATGCAAAAAAAAAAAAGTTCCATTTCCTATCTTAATTTCTTAAACAAATGAAAAGTATATATGCATGTGAGCATTCACTCTGCCAGCTCACAGCCAAAATAAGAACCATTCCAAATCAGTACTGTGATTTTTTTTTCTTACATTACATCATGGAAAGCAGTGTATTTTGAATGCCGTCTTCTGAAGTAACAGAAACTTAGCAAGTTTTTAGGTTTAAGAATGTTTTAAGGTAGTTTTTTAATGTTACAGTATTTCTTTGAAGTATTTTTATGTGATTTATATTTTTATTGTTTGATTATGTCATTTATGGACTATGAAATATGAAATGCATATGGCTATCAATGAGCTACTTTCAATGCATAAAATATGATGGTTGAGTTTGGCTTTCAAAGAAGGGACAGTGTCCCTTAGGGATTTTGAAGGCATAATCCATCCTTTCCTCACATGGTGGGGACGATGAGGGACAAGAATAGGTGTGGCCAAGTGAGGAGCTGAGCTGGCAGCAAGATGGAAGCCCCCAGGGATATTTCTAGAAAAGAGTTCCAGAGGGACAGAGGGTCTGGATCATGTGACCTCTTGGAGCCCTGATGTCAATGGTATCTGTGGTCATATGCCTGGCTCCTAAGACTGAGTCCAACCCCAAAACACATCGTCCCCACTGAGAACCTAATCTAAGGTAGGAATGACTCTTAATAGCACATAGCCTTGGAAAGGAAGGGAGTGGACTAACACAGAGAAAAATCATCAAACAGCCACACTGAGACACCTCAGAGCAAGAATGAGGTTTGCATGAGGGGTGATAAGCAGAGGGAGAGGGACATAGAATCCTGGTGTCACCTTAGAGATGGACTTCTGTATACATGTGAAGTGGTACAGGCCACCATTTTCAGCCTCTGGACCCACAGAGGGGCAGAAATTAGGCAGGGAGAACTCATGTCCAAAGTCCAGCATGCCCTTCTCCCACAGAAGCCACAGCAGTGGCTCTAGGCAACATCAAATCAGCACATGATTTTGCATTTTAGCAGAGATGGAGCTGAAAGTCAGGCAGTGCCGTCTCTCCTGTCTTCCTTCTCACTCCTGTCTTTCTCATCTTATGAAACAATTTCCAGTGCCCCTATTATCAGTCCCTGTACCCTCCACATCCCCCATCCTACTGGTCCTTTGTGGCCCAGCCCAAGAACCATGAAGTAGCTCCTTCTTCCCCAGACCCCCAAAGTCCCTTTTTCTCTTTGCGTCCTTCCCCATTGTCATGACTGTCTGAGTGCTAAATTGCCCTCCCTTCTCTAGCAGTGTCATAGGCTTTGTATGCCCAGCTGCCAGCACATAGTAGGTCTAGCTAGGGGAAGTGGAGTGTCTCAGTCCTGGCCTCCAGTGAACTCTGCCTGCTGCCCACAGAGAGTGGGCAGGCCATTAGCATAGGATGCCAGGACACGGAGGCCGCCTCTCTTCTGCAGCTCTAAATAGAAACCCCTTTGCTACCATGAATCAGTTGCTGTTCTGAGAAGAGTGGAAACACAGAGCTTGGATCCCCTGAGCCATTGACGTCACCTAATGGTGCTGCAAGGCCTAAGAGACTCTTAGATTTTCCAATAATAAAGCAACTTGTCCCTCTGGCTGGCTACAGCACTTTTCTTTCTCCTGAAAGAAAGCTGAAGACATGGAGATGGCTCCGGGCTGGGGAGGGCTCTGGAGCAGAGCAGACTGTCTGCAGGCATTCATTCTGAGGTCCAGCCCTGACATTAGAATCAACCCGTGGGCTTGCATTTGAGCAGGGACAGGAACTGTGTGCCAGGCAGTTCACTTCTGGCCATGCTTGTCGTCAGAAAAGACTCATTTTTATCTCTGGGCTCTGAGTTTTCTGCCAAGAGGCTAGAAAGCTCAGTAAGGTGTGTTGGCTGCACATGCCTGTCCCCCTTCCTTCACAATGCTGTCCCCTCCCTTCACAATGCTGTCCCCCCTCCCTTCACAATGCTGTCCCCCCTCCCTTCACAATGCTGCCCCCTCTCCCTTCACAATGCTGTCCCCTCTCCCTTCACAATGCTGTCCCCTCTCCCTTCAGAATGCTGCCCCCTCTCCCTTCACAATGCTGCCCCCTCTCCCTTCACACATGCTGTCCCTGATCATTTCACACATGCTGTCCCTGATCATTTCACACATGCTGTCCCCAGAGCCTCACCAGACACCTGTTCATCACAGGCACCCAGAAGCCATGGGCCAGAGATAGTAAACAAAGTGTTGCCCAGAGGGAGAGAAAAATTAAAGTGGACAGGCACCAAACCCCAGGTCTGGGGAGGGTGGAGAAAGTATCTGTTGGGGTATAGAGGACCCTGGCCATTCAAAACCTCCAGTATTTACTGTCTGACTCTCTCCATGAGGTATTTGCTGACCTCGATTGTAGAAGATAAGTTTCTTCCCTGCATTTCCCACTTGCTTAGGCTACTTACAGCCTAGGTTTCCCAGACATTTCCCAACCTAATCTAGTCACACAGACTTTGGACATCCTTTATCTTCATGTCTCCCCTGCATCCTGTCTCAGAGCCCGTCTTCAGTCTCTGCTGCATAAAGCTTATAAAATCCAGGTCCCTTGATTCATTTGCCTTCTCACAAGGTCTGACTCCAAAGAAGAAACCATGTGCAAGACTGCAGGAATCCAGCAACACACAGCCATGGCCCGGGCAGATTTGAATAGGGAAGGGCTGGGGAAGACATCACCATGCCAGCCATTCCTGAACTGGCTGGAGGCCTGCTCTGTTGAAAACAGAGGGGTCTCTTTATTGCTAGTTCTCCATACCCAAGTTCTTACTCCCTCCTCCCAGTCTTTACTGTGACAACATGGTGAGCATGGCGATTCCAAAAGCCAGTGTGCTTGAAGTCTGGGGGGAGAAAGCATTGGAAGCAGGAAGAGAGGGCCACAGTGTGCAGTGTCCATCAGGTAGCACAGTCTTCTTTTGAAGGGGACATGTGGGGCTATGGAGAAACCCTTGAGGCAGTGCTGGTGTCTCTTGCCCCACAAGGAAGTGATTTCCTTAAAGAGTCAAGGAGCACAGCTTTCTGGAGAGAGCCTCCCCATTCCACATTGGGTATTTTTGAGGGAAACAAGCCAGACTCAGAAGAAATGTTCAGGCTAATAAACCATCCAGGGTCGCAGCTGATGGAAGGCAGAAGGCAGCCACTCTGGTCCAATGTTACACACTGTTTCACAGAACTAGGAAGTAGGGGCCCTAACTTCTAGAACCCTGACCTCTGAATGGAAAGCACTTATTGAACCCAATATTCTAGGCCACTTGGGAAACCTTAGTACCCAATATGCTAGGCCACTTGGGAAACCTTAGTGCTTCTACTGCAGCCTGGTCACTGATGCTTGGTCATCACAGTGTCAACAGCACATTGTGGGCATAGCTTCCTTGAAAACAGCTAGTCTACAATGATAAAGCCTTACTTTGAGGCACAGATTATTATTATTGAGGGGTGCAGTGTTAGAAGTATGATGTCAGAATGTCCTCTAGGGTGGATCCAGCACCCTGCCATTTTTGAGAGCTATTGGCCAAGGCAAGTGGTTTCATGACTCAGGGGCAGAAACCAGCCCTGGCTGGTGGCTAACTGATCACTGGTCCAAGAGCAGAGTTTGTGCGGACTTAAAAGTCCAAAAAGACTGTCCTGAGCATCAGCATCACCCTCCAGGCCTCTCCCTGCCAAACAGATTCCATTTGACCCTTATATGAAACTGCTGTGTCTCACATGGCAAACAACATTACAAACAACACCTGCGTGTTCTTCAAGGTGCACATCCAAGTGTGCCTCTTTACAGTCGAAGAAAGAAGGCTACTGCCTATAGCTTGAGTGGCCTCTGAGAAGGGCCACTCCCATTTAGGAGTGTGCTTTCTGTCCCCGATGTGCTGCCACCAGGCAGAGTTTGGATGTACGTTACTTACAGCAAGAATCCTGAAATATTTGTTGACACATTTGGGAAAGCCACTAAATCAACTAAATTATCCACATTTTTCCAGTGAGCTTTCGTATATATTTATTTATATGAGACTATTTAAGGAAAGGCCTCTGATATTGGGAAAGCACATTTTGAACAGGCAACCCTGTATACTGAATGGAGTGCCTGCTAGGCTAGAGGCACTGAGAGTACAAGACACAGAACTTATGGCAGGGGCCACAGAAGGGACACTGGTGGTACTGTGGTAGCACCTGGTAGGATTGAGTGCATGGAAGGTCTTGGCTCAGAGGAGGAGAGACTGGTGGTAGTAGCTGATAAAGTTGGTTGTGACAGGCTTTGTGAGGCTGAGAGGCCTGCTGCCTCATTGCCTGGCAAAGGGTAAGCTGAAGACACCTGAGGACCTTACACTGAGCACACTTGGGAGGTCATGGCTCAGGTAACGGTAGACTGGCAGGGAAGCTCAGGTCTTGTGGCTGGCAAAGCAGCTGGCCCAGTGTTGGCTTCTTTGAACAGTGACAGGGCAGGCTCCTTTTCCCTCTCTGCTCTTTCTTCATGTCCTCTCTGTCACATCACTAGATGTTGACAAGGCACTTGGACAGTGGTAGAAGATGAAAGAAAAATTAAAAAAAGGTACTGCGAGTCTGAACTGGGGAATAGGGTTTGCCTCTGTGAGAATCCATACATGGCCTTCCCAGTAATACCATGCTGTAGCTGGGAGGCTCCCCCAAAGTGAGCCTTGGAAATGGAGGCCGAAGCATAGGGAAAAGTTAGTGTGACCTAAGAA